TATATATATATATATATACACATATACATATACACATATATACATACATACATATAAATAAATGAATGTGAGCTGCACAAGCTAGGCGAGTTTTGAAAACTTGCATTGCTGTCCATCATTCCTCTTGTTTTTCAGACTAAACTTCTGGAGCAAAAGCTGAGCTCTAATCTAACCTGTAAGAATCATTTCCCTTATTTGGGCTTGAGGACATGTGTATCTGAAGCAGGACATATAGGCCCTCTCACGGCTGATGTCATCAAGCACATGTTGGCAACAGCAGTGGCGTTCTTCTGCGCCAGCTTTCCCGAGGAGTTAGAAAGCTTTAAACATTGAATTTAAACTGTTACCAGAGAGGGAATAAGCTTTGTACAAGCTTCAAACCCAGCGACTGTCAGTCTGACGATGACATAGCCTCTGGGAGAGACAATATTTTGGGGCTTCCAGTGTAGCCAGCAGATATCTGGGCCACATCCTCTTTTCTTCCACTTACTCTCCTCTCATTGCTGAAAGTCAGCTGCTGTACATTATCATAGTCATTACATGACACTATGGACAGTGAAGCACACACCGTCTCCTCAGCTGTGATTTAAATCAGCGGAACTGAACATCTGACAGGTGAAGCAAATGTCCTTTATTAGTTTTCCAAATTCTGAGCATGCAGCATTAATGTGAATCACCTGTGTGGGCCAAACATTACGTAACTTCCACCGCAGTCTAGCTGCTGTTCAGCTGAGCCTGCAGCTACAGTTTAAACCTCGGCTACGTCCAGGTTAGCAGGTTAGTGCCGCGTAAGGCTGCTGGGTGGGGTTATTGAGACTTACTGGCTCTTTGTAGAGTACTCGCGTATGGAGTCCAAGAAGAGCTTCTGGATTGGGTCCATTTGAGCTGAAGGTCACAGAAAGACAAAATACATCAAACTCATTTCTCGTCACAGAAAAATACTCATAAACCAACTTCATGCGTTTGGATATCAGTCCATTTGGCTCGAACAAGTAATACTAAACAACCAGTCTGATGTTAACTGTAACGCTCATGCACAGAACAGCACCGGGAAGTGGTAGACAGAGGAGCCACGTCCAGGGTCAGACAGGAGAGAAGGTGTAAGAGTCAGTCGACAGGTTAAGAGGTGTGATAGGTCATGCTAGGCAACACATTCACAGAGCTACTGGAAGGTAAAGGTCGCCAACAATCAAACAAAACCTCTCAACAGTGAACTCAAAGAACACGTTTGCTCCACACACAGCAACCACGGGGCTTTTACCACCAAAGAAGGTTTACATATCACGCATTAACAAAATACACCCACCAATAGGATCACACATGTAGGGATTGATTACATTCATTTTACCACGAGACTCCCCAATAAGTGTGAGAAGTGTAAGGGACGAAGGAGGAGAGAAGTTTAAATAAATAAGGTGACAGCTGCAGCCTTCTCCTTCACCTCTGGAAACACCTTTAACATTACCTTTGTGTTCAACAATCACCGATACAAAGTCAAGCAGAACAGCTCCATACAACCAGAACACAACACTGGGAGCTGCACGGTGCTGGAAGTTATCTTCTTTCACATTGAAGATCTTTTTAAGGAAGACTGGAAATGAAAGTGGGGATCTTAAAACCACATAGAACATCTGTATGAGTAGAAGGTGGGAAGAGCAGATCACAGGGACTTATGCAGGAAGGTGAAGAGATGTTCTAGAGAAATGAGTGCAGTGAGCAGGCAGACATTAGTAAGTGAACAACAAAGGTCTACTGAAATGAACCATGCCAAACAGCTGTGCAGTTAAGAGATGAGTCATATGCAGGATGGCTGAAGCAGCACAAACACATAAGACAGTGAGTTTAACTACATCTACGTGAAAGGTGACCCAGCCATGTGGGGTATGAAGAAGGGAAGACATTGTTTCAGGTTTATGGGCTGGAATGGATCACTGAGTAACACTGAGAAACACTGAGGGACTATAAGGAGCAACCTGTGCAAGGCTAGAACAAAAGAAGTGTTTGTGATGTCAGGTATCTTTACGGTTTATCCTTACGCTCATCACAAACGACTACTGGATATTCATAGAAAAGGTGATTCAAATGATGCTGGTAGACTGGAGAGTCCACAGAGGAAAAGAGAAGGATTGTGGGGGAGGGGGCGGTTGTAGTGTGTACCCTCAAATGGTTCAACTGGTTCAGCTGGGGCGTCCGCCTGCAGCTCCTCTCCTGCAGCTTCAGCTACCACTGGAGCAGGGTCCACCAGCTCCTCGGTGCTCTCCACAGGGGCAGAAACTTCAGCTGCAGCCTCAGCAGCCGCCTCAGCAGGAGCAGCTTCAGCTTCTACGGGGGCTTCAGCAGGAGCAGCTTCAGCTTCTACGGGGGCTTCAGCAGGAGCAGCTTCAGCTTCAGCGGCAGCTTCCACAACTGGTGCAGCTTCTGCAGCAGGGGCTTCAGGAGCAGCTTTGACAGGAACTTCAGCAGCAGGTTCGACAACCGGTTCTGCTGGAGCAGCTTCAACCGGAGCTTCACTAACTGGGGCAGCAGTTTCAGCTGCAGCAGCTTCCACTGCTAGAGCTGCAGCAACAGATGCTACAGCTTCAACCACTGGTACAGCTTCAGCAACCACTTCAGCCACAGCTTCAACCACTGGTACAGCTTCAGCAACCACTTCAGCCACAGCTTCAACCACTGGTACTGCTTCAGCAACCACTGGTACAGCCTCAATAACAGGTGTGGCTTCAACTGCTGAGGCAGTTTCAGAGAGCGCTTCTACCACAGGGGTGGTTGCCACAGTCTCGGGTGCAGCAGCAGAGGGCGTGGGCTCTGCTGGTCTAGCTGCAGCTTCTGCTGCTGCTGCAGCGGCTGCTGATGATCCTTTCTTGGGAAACTCATATGACTTGTGCTGGACAAGTTTCTCTACATCAAAGTATGTTTTAACCTGGTCTTTGTCTAGGACAAAGAAGGAGGGCAAAAAGACAAGATGCATTATTGTTTTAAACATATGTATATAGTTGAATGACAAAATGTCCAACATTCTAAACAGAAGAGTCATTGATATACCAGAAGGTGGAATCCGTTACCAGTTTACAGGAAAATAAAGTGCAAAACAAGAAGCCTGTGAGTTAAGGGATACAGAAAACATATTGTAAAAAAGCTTCATGAAGACTCTTGATAGAAAAGAACAACTGTAAGCTCGACTACAGCAGCTTATATTGAGATAAAAAGGAGCACATTATAATCAGAAGGACCTAAATGCAACAATGGTCTGCTGACAGTGAGAAAGGTAAGTCATCTTCAAACCCTGTGGAAGGAAAGCCAGAAGGGAAAATAATAATAAAAGTGTCAGAAAAAAATGAAACGTGTGCATAAATTGCTGAATCGCAGTTAAAAAGGAGTCAATGCAACTCTATATCCTCATTGGTGTTCGAAGAGAAATCCGCCTTTACAGTCCCAATAGAGGCACCTGGACTTTGGGAATCTTCTGATACAGAGGACCAATACGATCCCAGTGCTTGGGTAAGAAGATGTGTGCCCGACTGTGTGGAAGCGGCTGGGATCATCATGTGGAAGGCAGACCGGATTCTGTACTTTAGACCAGATAGTGAAAAAGAGCCATGCCCTTTGTGTCCTTTTGTTCTTGGGTCCAACTAGACTGTTAGATTGATAGTTTGTCATTATACAGGAATGTGCATGCATGTTGTTTACTCCCTAGCTTCAGTACTAATTAAACACATTCTTTGAGACAACAGAGACCGTCCAGAGGAAATCGGTAATCTAATCTCAATGTTGTCAACCTCATAACCTGTAAAAACACATCCATACAAATCTGCAATATATGCTGAAATCCTGCAAATGCAGCTGGTTCCAATAGCAACATTACTCAAGAGCTCTCTTACACTGCAGCCATAACCAATCAGCTGCTGCATGTTATGCATTCTTAACTTTCCCAAAACATTGTTCCCAACAGTGCCCCAAACTGTCAAACATAACGGCTACAACCCAGCTTCATACTGGACAATGTTGTCATCAGTCACATGGGTTCAGCGTGCGGCAACCTTTGGGTCTGAAAAGTTAAGCCAGTGCAGAAGTGCCTTAAACTTGCACTAGACCCCAGCAGACCAACATATACCATTACCATATGACGCATTAGTTTGTTTATTATCATGAGCAGTTATGAAATGGGTAGATCAGACATGGTGGGATTTGGCTTGGGGGACCAGGGTCTGGCTTGGTTCACACTCCTCTCAGAGTTTAAGTTGCCCCCTCTCCCTCCAAATGGCCACTGCCAACTGGTATATAATACAAAACTGGAGACTTGGACTCTTTAGGTCTCGTTATTAGTACAATTAGTCACACAGCCCTTTGGCATGTTGATGTCACAATGAAAACAATCTTCATTTCCTGCTGTCCAAGACGTTTTCTGCACTGCTCAAGCAATGACAACATTGTTACGTCGTCCGGTGAGAGAGTTAGGTTACATATAATCAATTTAATGCTAATCACGTCATCACCCCGTCTCTGCAAAGTCTGACGTTAGTTTGGCATAAGTCGAGCAGATGAGCATTAAATAGTTCGCTAACGTAAGCGTGTTGTTGTTTGCTAGCGGTTAGCCCTCAGTCGGAAACATAACGCCAAAGATCAATAGAATATTGCACATATGTACGATTGCAATACAAATGCTAGACTGTGCTTGTATTTCTCTTTTCTAGTCTTCCGACCACTCAAAGCTCTCTAACACTACATGTCATCATTCACCCATTCACACACTGATGACAGGGCTACCATGCAAGGTGGGAATCTAACTAACAATCACACCCAATCATACACCACAGGAACAGCCTATTCGTGGTCTGGCAAATTGGGGTTAAGTGTCCAAGGACACATGGACATGGACTAACCAGGGATCGAACCAGCGACCCTCTGATGGAAGGACAGCCCTGCTCTACCACTGAACCACAGTCGCCCCCTGCAAGAGCATGTTGGCTAACGATAGCTTTCAGGTGGCAACAGGGGAGGAGAAGCAGCTGCCCCACTTACGGTCAAGATGGTTCCTTTCAAAGTGGACGGAGTGAGTTTCCCTCGCGTATAGTCGCGGCAACCATTTAGAGCCGTAACAAAATCTGACATCACTTCAAAGTTTTGAGACATGGTCGCTAATTTCTATTTCCATAGATTGTGGGCCTGTCACCCGTTTGTTGATCAGTTCATCTCTATTGATCTGTGGTGCATGACTCAGTACTGCTGCTGCTGTGACAGTGCTATAGACAAGGTTCTTGTCTACAAATAGAACTAAATGCATTCAGGGGCAGCAGCCTCTACTGTTGGGCCAGTCCTAACACACGGAGTCCATGGATTGTCACTGTGGTGCTGCTCAGCTCGGTAGCTTCCGAACTGCCGAACGAGTGCCGCTAACGTGCCACGGCCAGTAATCTCACTCACTGTCTCCCTAATGTAGCTGGTCCGTTAGTTAGGCTGTGACCTACTGAACCAAACCAATATTATATGACTTACTCATTACTTAGACAGCTAATGTAATGTGGACACTGCACAGACTCAATGCCTTTAGGATCACCGGGACCCAAATCTACCCTGTTAATGGCCTTGATCCATAATCTCCTTCAGTTCTATAATTAAAAAGCCTGCGATCCCCTCGAACATGAAACATCTGTATCAGTTAACTCCCCGTCATGTCAGCTTTGGAGCGTGGCTCTGCTAGGAATCCTGGGACGGCTGCTTTCTGCCCCGTAGCTGCGTAGACACCTCGGTCATACACTGCAGACTGGTGCAGTGTATGACCAAGGTGTTTGAGTGAGGAGAATGATGCTTTTACCCACCGGTGCAGTATCCCTGGTTACCCCTGTAGAAGTCTATGAGAACATGACTCTACTTCTCTCTTGATTTATTACCTCAGTAAACATTGTAAACATGAGTTTATGGTCTCAATCTCTAGTTTCAAGTCTTCTTCAATACAGCATGATGTTCATTTAGTAACTTATGGTCCATTTAGAGTCACACAGACCATAAAGCAGGGGATGCTTTAGGGCGGGGCTACACAGTGACTGACAGGTCTCTACCGAGGTGTTGTCCGTGTTTTGTTCTTACAACTTAAACCCTTTCACAGTGTTTTCACTTCATGAAAGACATCAAACGTCTTATTCAGCAGTCGTCTTATCCACCCTCTCCAGTTCAGACAAAATGCTGAACTCTGGGCTTCAGAACGGCAGACCACAAATCAATGGGTGACATCTTATACACAGTATACGAGTTTCTGCAGAATATTCACAACTCATTTATTTGGAAAAAATAAATAATGTAGTGGAGTATATGTGGGTCCAATCTCGAAAACTGTTGCGTAATGCAGTCGGCTGACAGTAAACGAACATCATATCTCCACCAACGCCAGGACAACCCATATGTTATTAGTCCACTAGATAGACTACTCAGTAATAACATAATTTGACCTGTTTGCTGTCATGTGATGTATGTCGGTCTGACTGCATTATGCGATTAAAGCTCTGCCTCATGTGACAGCAGCGACTCTCTGAAACCTACCTGAGTTGTTCTTTTTTGACGGCTTCTTGGAACCTCCGGATTTTGTGCTGAGGGCCGCAGCTGCAGGTGCTCTACTCGGAGTAATCCAGCTCTCAGCCCGCAAACACTGAGACACACACACCACATTAGATTCAGCTCTTTTCTTACCTTGAAAAAGGAGCACAGTTTAAGTGAGCAGGACTCGCTAAAAGTCTCACTCAAATATGAACTAGCGGATTAGGCTGTCATCTCTAAGTCACTGACACCACATTGTATTAGTGAGGTTTTATAGTCCACAACCTTTACTTATTTTTCATTTTAGTAGTTTCAAGATTGTAATAAATACATTTGATTCCAGGCTGTGTGATGCATCAGCTCTTAATGGATGCAACAGTCGGCTATGTGATGTTTACACCAAGTGAAACATCTATTGTATGTCTTGTGTATCAACGCTTCCACAGAATCCAGACACATTTCTACCCTTTGAGAAGTTGGGATCTCCACCACAACGTAAATAAAGTAGTTTGTAATAACGTCCCACTGATCGCCAAGTGTGGTGCAAGTGATTTAAAAGCCTTAAATCCAGTCGAGACACAAATGAGACTCTTCAGAGGAAACAAGAGCAGTAGCATCTGAAGCCAGGACCCAGCGTGCTCACGGACATTCCTGAGCAGCGACCAGCTGCTGGGCCTGCGTCCTGGAAAGCTTCCCCACTGAGGCGTGCAGTTAGACAACCAACAGCCTACAATAGATAGCTCAACCGTGTGCTTATAGTTGCATAATTCATTAAGAAAGACACGCATTTAAAGCAGCACGCATTGAGCAGAGTCCGTTGCTAGCTTGAGGGACTGAAGAAGCTGGTTCTGGATCAGCTAACAGCTCCACGGACACTAGCAGACCCGGAGAAAGCGCCGATAACCCGGTTCACGGCACCGCACTCCGCTGACCGAGCACGGCACGGGAACGACCGAATACAGTGAAGTGGTTCACGTTACAAATGGATTACCTTGACACTGCTCAGTCGTCCCATCCTCAGCAAAGCCGCCATCTTTCCGTACAGCCTGCCTGTGCTGCACATCAAGTACAAATTAATCAAGACAACAATGACCGTTACCACGTCAAAATACCTTCAACGTGCAACGACAGCGAGTTCTATCAGCACCGTGCAAGAAACAGAACCGCAATCTAACCGGCGGTGGTCAAGTGTCTGACCTTGTCCCAGCCTGCAGTGAGGAGACCGAACTACTATCAACGAATGAGAGGACCGGTTACCTGGTCCCCTGTCGAGAGATACCGCGGTTCTGTTCGTGCGTTCAGCTGGTCGGGTCTCTAGAAGCAGCTCACAGCAGCGTGGACATGGACCGGTCCTTTATGTAACACACGAAACCGTCTTTTATGTAACGCTAACGCGTGAAGGGAGCCACGCCCCCTCCGAGCCCCATGTGTCGTCCTTTGTCAGCTTGTGTGTTTCTTGTGACAGTCTGTGGTGAACCTGTGTGTAATGCTAATGCTGCTACTAACTAACGTTATAACGTGAATGCAGACGCTGTGCCGTAAAGCTGTGTGTGGTCTGCGGCTCACTTTTCGCACTAAAAGGAGCGTTTAGTGTGAACGGTGGCAGCTTAAGCAATACACGTCCTCCTCCTCGTGTACTTTCAGCAATACACGTCCTCCTCCTCGTGTACTTTAAGCAATACACGTCCTCCTCCTCGTGTACTTTAAGCAATACACGTCCTCCTCCTCGTGTACTTTAAGCAACACACGTCCTCCTCCTCGTGTACTGTAATGGTTTCATACAGTCTATGGGGGTCTATATGTCTGTTCTATGAGGAACCCTCTCATCACCACCAACACGCACGTTGACGCTCTCGTGCATCTCATGTGTACATTCTGTACTTTTTCGAGGGGGCGTGAGTCGTGTGGTTTGTGACGCAATTAGCGCGCGACAAAATACAGTTCCCCGCGTGGGCTACCGTCGCGTGATACACACACAACAACCATGACTGCCGTTGGCTTCTGTGGAGAGTGGTTTATTTTCGCCTGCGACAAGAAACTCGTAGCAATTGACAGCAAACAGGCCAGGTTTGAATCCCTCTAATCATCAGTGTCGTTATGTGTTGATGTTGTTCGCCTGTGGATCATGTTGTCTGTACTGACTCGCAGAGTTCGCCTGTGGATCATGTTGTCTGTACTGACTCGCAGAGTTCGCCTGTGGATCAGGTTGTCTGTACTGACTCGCAGAGTTAGCCAGCTGACCGTCTTTGCACGGAGAGATGTCGAGGTTCATCACAGTGCACATGCGTTTGGACATGTGTGTGAAGATGTGTTATCTGTGTGACACAGGTTGGCCTTTATCTCAGCATCATGCCCACCACCTTGTGTGGTGCTGTCTTCATCCACAAAGTGTTGTCAATGCAAGGAGAGCGCTGGTATCCTCCTGCTGCAGCAGCACTGTGATCAGACTGTGACTACTTCTTCAGTGTCAGTCAAGCTGAGGAAGATGACTTGTGTAGACTGCTGGTGTGGGTTGAAGACTCCTCTGAAGGACTTGAGTATCAATGTAAAACAATACCTCTTCAGTATCCTAAGTAGACATCTAATCATGTTTACTCATTCAAAGAAACCAGTTTTTCTCAAACATGAAATTGTGTCTAAACACAAGTAGCTGTGCAAGAACCAGCATCTCAATACAATAGTTTACAAATGATCCATTGAAATCATGAATTATCTGATTTAGTACTGAAACAATCTATTGATTTGTGTTGAAGCATTTCATTATTTTGGGTTCTCTGACTGGTTTCAGCTTCTCCAATAGTCTTCTCTATAGTCGGTGTTTGTAGCTTTGCATTTCTTCTCTGTCAGAAGACAAAATATAATAAGTATAGTAATAGTATAATAATGGCTGAAGCATCAATTTTCTTCACCTTTCTACAATAATACGGGTTTATGATTCATAATTGAATTATTAGTAACTGCTGATACACAATTTAAAATGAATAATTATTAAATAAAGCAATTAAGCAATAATAACACAAACCATAGTGTGTTACGTCCCCTTGTGGTGAGTGAAGGAGATATTTTAATAGAAGCCAGGGACTAACTCTACACCAACGGGATATTTAAAGAGACAGTTGAACTCAAACTAGATAAATTGGTGAGAAAATAACAAGTCATTATGAAAGTGGCATTGTGCAGGAACTCATTTGAATTTCTACTTTATTGCAGAGAATCGTTTGTGTTTGACTGCAGCACTGCTGAGAAGAAGCCAAAGAATGTGAAGGATGATACCAGCAGGTAAGAACAAGCACATGACTATATGATCTACCATCCACCATCATATACCAAACATGCCTCACTGTAGATAAGTAAATAGGAAGACACGTGCAAGAAGAGAAATGCATACAAAAAAGGAATGAAGACATTAAAGAGTAACTTATTTAACACCATTATGTTTTATGTTTTTTGGAATGAGAACAGATCCAAGGAAAGATGAATAGAATATACTTGGAACATGAATTGTATTGTAACAGCTGTTGCTTGTCTCTGCCGTCTGCAGTGATGGCGGTGCCTCAGAGGAAACAGGAAGTGACAAAGTCCTTGCCTTCGCCGTGGCTTCATCTGGAAAGCTGGTGGCGCTGACCGATGACACCAAGAGACTGGTCCTGTTTCACTGTGAGCCGTCATGGCAGTGTATCAGCATCAGGTACGACTTCATCCACAGCAGATCCATGTACTGTACAGATCAGGATGCAATGTGTTAATAGTTGCTGTGCGTGTCTGTGTGTTACACAGGTGGGTGGTGAGGAGATGTACCTCCCTGATATTCAGCCAGGCAGAGGACGAGCTGCTGGCGACTGACAAATCAGGAGACGTGTACTCCTTCTCAGTGGTGGAGCCGCAGAGAGAGGGCGAGCTGAAGATGGGCCACCTGTCTATGCTGCTAGCTGTAGTAAGGAACACCAACGCTGGGCAGACAAAACTATCACAGCTGTAGTCTGGAGAACTCATTACAAAATGTCTCAATGTTTGCAGGTGTTTAAAGATTCACATTCAAATATATACGGGATACAAAAAGTGAGGTTCCTCCCCGGTTTAGGAGCTGCTGTGCTGTGTGACTTCTGTGCTGAGCACAAGATTCAAAGAGAGACCCAATCCTCTTGCTTGGGACTGAGGTAGTATTTTGGCAACTGGCAACTTTGGTAAACTATTTATTAGAATAATAATTCCTATAAAAATAAGAACATTTCAAAAACATGCGCTGCCGATCAAACAGCTTCCTGATGCAGTAGATATGACCTTCCGAGGTATCTCTGTATATCAATACTTCACCAAGGTCCACAGCACAGCCGTCCAGCCCAGACTCAGCATATTCACTAGACACTTGAATGAAGGTCACCGGTGAGTTCGCAACCCTAAAGTCATCACTCAAAAGGAGTGACTTCTCCAGCTCTTTGAGACTGTGGTACTTGCCAATATCCTTTGAGTGAATCAATTTACTAAGCCTGATCAACACCGTCTTCTATGCATGGCGTTGGATAAGCGTCATTTTGATTATGATAGTCTGTACAAAACCGAGGAATTTTATCTGCTTTAACCACAAGCAAACAAGGAGATGCCCAACTGAAAGAAGGTTCAGCAATATGTTTTGTTTCAGTACATTTAGCCCCGACACTGGACACCAGGTCCGGGTAAGTCCAAAGTGTTGAATAAAAGAATATGATGCATAATATTTGCTACCATCTTATGTTGCTGTATGGACAAAGGCACAATAATTGTTACCTCAATTCATTATGTTTAAAACCGCAAAGACCTTGTACCATATATAGCATATCTTTTTCCATTACTCTGCGTTCATCATTTGACATCCTGTAAATACGCTGGCGGACTGGCTTCACACGTTAATGACATGGTCTATCAAATGTGTACGAGTTTGAACGCCATTAAACAAACACAAGAACCACAGCAAGAACCTTAACTCTGGTGCCCCGGGGTCCCACCAGCACTACAAGAAAGAATATAAAAAAACATGTACCTCTCAAAGAACATGATGTTATTGCTACTTAAAGTGGCAATCTTGAAGATTTTCTTTTAAATACATGTTAAGTCACTATCTATCACTGAAGAGGGTAACACAGCCTATGGCCCACCAATTTTGGAACCCATCACTATCAGTCTGACGACAGGTATATCCTCTGGGTGCAGCGGGCTGTGTTACTGGGGTTCTCGTGGAGCCAGTGGATATCCAGGTCAAGACTTTCTTTTCCATGCGCTGCTCGTTTACAGTCATATTAGCAGCTTCAGATGTGAGACAGGTATTGGAGTTTAGAGACGGATGTACGGCCGAATTATTTCACAAGTAGCCATTTTACAAGCTAATTTTAAACAAACCCCAAAAAACCGAAATCTTCGTCGGGCAATAGTGGGTGGGTTCCCAGATTTCATTTCAGCCAATGTATTCCGCCTCTTTTACATTTGCATTACTATGATGAAGAAGTACTACCCTGAGCCTTCCACTTAGCACTTATTGTATTTATACTAGTTTGTTCCACTTATTGTATTTATGTTGGTTTGTTGCACTTATTGTATTTATGTTAGTTTGTTGCACTTATTGTATTCATGTTAGTTTGTTGCACTT